CTTTAAGGTCATCCGTTCACCAAACTCACCGCTGCTTACTGAGTGTAAACGCAGATAGAGGGAAAAACTGGAGCGTTTAAAGCCGTGATTCATCAGAGGATCGCTCGTATGTCAGCTTATAGACAAATCAGCTCATCAACGTGACTTTGAAACACTCCAGTGTCCCTGTATCTGTGTTTACACTTCCTAAAATGCGGTGAGTTTAGTGAACTGATGACCTTCAAGGCCAATCACAGTCATTTCTGTTGAGCATGTGAACACAATGGCAAATCAGCGATTGTTAAGAACGCGCTCAAATGTTTGCGGGAAATGGACGTTTTTAAAATTCCAGTATTGATTGGTACCGAATTCCATTAACATGACAATCCTAAATAAAAGAAACAAAAAACGTACCTAAAAAATCCCCGCAGGCTCTCTGTTTTTAAAGCAAACATTTTGTCCTTAGTTAATGCCTAATTTAAATGTTTGTTTTGGACACTACTTTTTTTTTTTTTTTTTTTAAAGTTGAGATTCAGTATCACAGGTGCTCACCTTTAGGTTTCATGATAAAAGGTAAATTAAAATGTTCTAGACATAGGTGTACACACACGCAGGAGATCATTAAACTTTATGTAAATAATTGTGTTATATGTACAGCAGATATTTTTAGACTATTTAAGCCACAAGCTTGTGTTATGAAAGTGTTTTGGTTGAGTGGTTTTGTGTTTTTCATGTGACTGTCAAGGGCTTTGATGTGGAAACAGCGTCCAGATAAGTATATACAACAGCTATTTTAATTGAACATCATTTGCTTCAATTATAAAGAAAGAACATTGTTAGTTTTGGGCATGGAAAATCTCTTAAAAGCAGCAACTTCATAATTTTTTTCTTTTGTTTTTTTATTTATGTTGAGTTGAAATGCACTTAATTTCTTTTGCAAAATGTGAACATTTGATAAATACTTCTGCATAGCATTAAAGGGGAAAGCTCCCCCCCCCCAAAAAAAGAAAATTTTCTGACATTCAAATGGTTTCAACCCTTTATGAGTTTGTTTATACTGTTGGACACTAAAATATATGTTTGGAAAAATATTAGAACCATTAAATTCTTTATTTAAAAAATAATAATATTATGAAAGTCAATGATTACAGGTTTTAAACGTTTTTCAAACAATCTTCGTTTTGTTCAACAGAAGGAAAAAACTCATAGGTTTGAAAATAATGTAGCAAACACAGTTTTACAACATTCTTCAAAATATCTTCTTATGTCTAACAAAAAAAGAAAACTCCAGGTTTAAAACAAGTAAAGGGTGAATAAATAATTTTAAAAATATAAATGTCATTATATTAGTCAATGCTGATATAACACTTTATTCGGTTTATACATTTTTAAGTCAGGTGACATCTTAATTTTTACACTTTTCATCCATCTTAGCAGGAGATACTGAAATCACAAGAATGTGTGTATGTATACACATGTATTATAACCATTGACTTCTGCAATTAAAAACATAAGTAAATAGTATGGAAGCCAATGATTACAGGTTTCCAACATTTAAAAAAAGTTTTTTTTTTTTTCGTCCAACAGAAAAAAAAAAAAAGTAAAAAAAACTCAATTTTCAACTTTGGGAGATAATCTACCACTTACATTTTATTTATTTATTTATTTTGAAAAATATTAGAACCATGACTTATATAATTAAAGAAATACCATGGAAGTCAATGGTTGCAGATTTCCAACATTTTTTAAACAATCTGTTTTTTGTTTTGTTTTTTTTAACAAAAGGAAAAACAACTTAATAGTTTTCAAAATTATGTAGTAAATAATATGGCTGAACTATCCCTTTAAATTAATTAGTTTAACAATTTCTTTAGTTTGTAAATTTTTCAGTCAGATAACATTTTGATCTTTACTTTTTTCTATTGAGTTTTGTAAGAGAGACTGAACTCAAAACTATATATTTGTCAAATATCACAACTATTGATTTCTATAATAAAAAAAAAAATAATACTATGGAAGCCAGTCCAGTTTTGTTGTAGGGTCTGAATATATATATATATATATATATACACACACACACACACACACACACAGTATATATGGAAAAACATGAGAATCATTAATTTCTATCATATAAAATACTGTGGAAGTCAATGGTTACAGGTTTCCAACAGCATTCAAACAATCCTCTTTTTTTTTGTCCAACAAAATAAAAAAGAACTCATAAGTTTGAAAGTAGTGTAGTAAATAATGATAGAATTTCTGCTTTGGGTGAACTATACCTTTAAATAAATTACTTAATTCACTTTATTTACTTTATATGTTTTTTTCAGTCAAATAACATTTAGATTTCTACATTTTTCCATCCTGTTTTGTTGGGGAGACTGATTTTACAACTATATATTTGTAAAGTATTAAAACCACTGATATCTATAATAAAAACAAATACTATGGAAGTCAATCGTTACAGGATTCCAACATTTTTCAAACAATCTTCTTTTTGGTCCAGCAGAATAAATTAAAACTCAGCTGTTTGAAAATAGTGTAGTAAAAAATGACAGAATTTGCAACTATCCCTTTAAATTATTAGGACAAATGACTATACTAATATTAGAACCATTGATTTCTGTAATAAAAGAATGCTATGGAATTCAATGGTTACATGTTTCCAGCATTTTTCAAACAATCTTTTTTTTTTTTTGTCCAACAGATGAAGAAAAACTCATAGGTTATTAAATAATGTGGGTGAACTATCCCTTTAAATTAATGAGTTACTTTAACACTGTTCAGTTTATACATTTGCAGTCTTAATATTAGAACCATTGACTTGTATAATAATAGTAAAATACTATGGAAGTCAATGTTTGCAGATTTCCAACATTTTTTAAACTGTCTTCTTTCTCAAACAGACAAAAAAGGTTTAAAAATAAATAATGTAGGAACTATTTTGGGTGAACTGTCCCTTTAAATTAGCTATTTAATCTACCACTTTGCTTAGTTTATACATTTTTCAGCCTTTTTTTATCCATTGTTTTCCCCTGGAAAGCTCCAGCCAGTTTTGTAGGAGAGACTAAACTCGACTGTTGAACACTAGCAGGCTGTATTTTGCCGTCCGTGACTCTAGCATTTCACCACATCATGAACACAACTCAAGTGCATTAAAGCGACCACAGCATCATTTAGCTTTGATTCAGGTTACGTTTGCTGTGTTTTGGGAGACTCCGAATGGCTGCGCGTTACCGTAATGTATTCAGAAAGCAGGACTGATTGGAGATCTGTCTTCACTAAACTGAAGTCTTCCACAGCTTCAACTACTGAATGTATATAATCTGCTGTTTGCCGAGTTTCACATGTACATTTGTGCGAATAAACGGACCTCATAATGTCCCTGTTTGTTATTTTTATTTTTCCACAGTCTTATTATTGCTGTACTTTAAACAGTAATTGTGCCGTGTTCGTCGATTCGCATCCATTTTTTCTAGAGTTTGATGACTTTGTAATAAAATGTATGCTAAATATGCTGAATTGGTTGTTTGTTATTGACTCGGAAATTAGTGGTTTTGCTTTGTCTTTACTTCTAATGCAAGAAACTTGCTGTTTAAAAATAAATAACATGCTTTAGGTTTGTTTTATTAAAGGTTTCTGCTTCAGGTAAGATGCAAGGTTTAATAAAAGCTTTCGAATTTTTGTAACATACTTTTTTTTTTTTGCGTGTTTGAAATGTTTTTCTCTTTCAGCTGTCATCATAAATACTTTGATATTACTTGACGCTATGGACGCTCACTTTCTATTCAGGTATGTAATGACATTTTTTATGATTTAAACAGGTTGTTTTTTTATATTTACAGGCCCATAGCCAGCCTGGTGAAAAAGGTGGTTCTTGTTTTTCAAAAAGTGGACCTTTTTGCAGATATTCGCCTCATTTTCTTTTCATTTGAGCTTTAAATGCAGCATTTTGGGGAAATTTTAAGCACTATTTTTCTGGATTAGCTTTTGTGATCATCATAGCTACAATTTTAATGCACCAAAACATTTCCTAAAGATTTAGAATGAAGAAATATACAAAATATATACTCATTTATACTTAATATTTTTTTAAATACAAATGTATCACATACATCATGAAAAAAAAGGAATCTGTTAAAGTTTTAAATTAAAAAAAACTGCGCCTGCCTGCTGTCATTTATTAGGCAAACCACAAGCTGACCAGCTTATTCAACTTTCCATAGTGTGAAATTGGCTATTTTTATTAATAGTTCCAAAGGCCCACCTCAAAAGTAGGGGCGAACGTGCTTTTGCCATAGCAGGTCCTCGCCTCTGGAACTCTCTGCCATTAGAGCTAAAAAAAAAGGCTTCGTCGCTGCCTATTTTTAAGTCCAAATTAAAGACGCTTTTATTTTCTAGGTATTTTTGAAGCATAAGTCCTTCCCTTTTAGAAGGGGGGGAGTGGGGAGGGGGATCAAAACGGTCATGTTTCTCTATCGTGTTTAGTGTTGGTCAACTGTGGTAGCATCTTTTAATTAGGAAAAAATATTTTATTATTATTATTATTACTTTTTTTTTTTTTTTTTTGCTCTTTTATTGATAATTTTTCTAGGTTCCTCCCTATTATCTGCTTATTTCTGTTTTTACTGTTTTATGCTCGTATCATGTGTTTATTTTCTCTCTGTAAAGCACTGTGTGCAGCCCTGTGGCAGTTGGAAACGTGCTATATAAATAAATAGAACTTGAACTATTTTAATGATTACACATTTAATATTTGGATATTTCTGAATATAAACCTAGAGATGGTTGTGCGTGAAAATCCCAGTAGATCAGC